ACAAAACAATACTAAACCTAAAACCCCAAACCCACCTGGATTCTGGAGATCAAAGTCAGGTCCTCACATCTGCAAGGCAAGTATTTTACCTACTGAGGCACCTCCCAGTCCCTTCCCGCTACTTTTCCTTATACTTTGATTTTTCCTGTGAAATTGTCTCTTTTTGATGGGACAGAGGAAGAGAGGGAGACGGAGGAAAAAAAACCAGGAAGGGGGATGGGACAGTGTCAGCTGTGCTTGAAGTTGACTTCTGCTTGTCCTTACTGCATATCTCTGTATAGAGTTCATATATATATATATATATATGGGGATGCTGTATGCTCTGGACTATGGGGACGTCTCCATCTTTGAGAGAAGTTCCTTAATTCTTTCTTTCTTACATACTGAGTGTGTAGGTTCTTTTCTGGGTTTACAGCAGCAACCGTGGTCATGTAGGCACAATAGCATTCTGAGGTTAGTCCCAGAAGATTATAATGAAGCTGCAAAATTCCTATGGCCTAGTGACCTCTAAGCCAGTCATAACACCACAGTGTGACCCATTACTCATATGTTTGTGGTAATGGTGGTGTAAACAGACCCACAGAGCTGTACCTTGCCTAGAAGTACTACAGACACCATTACTTAAGTAAATAATGCCTGATGATAGATGATTCTTACTGCTTTATTTATTTACTGTGTTGAAATTTTTATTCTAGAACACGTTCCTTCTACTTCTGAAAAAGAGTTGACTGTAAGTCAGTCTATTATGCTGGCAGCACCCTCTTCTCTCCAGTGTTTACTGTTCCTCTTGATTGCATCATTTTGTCTTGTGCTAGATTTAATTTCACGTTTTGTTCATTTTGGTCCTAGGAGCAATAGGCGGTTTCTCCCCCCACCCCCACAATGTGTGTGTGTGTGTGTGTGTGTGTGTGTGTGTGTTATTCCACAGGCTGGGTGTGTAGTAGGCTACACCATCTAGGCCTGTGTAAATACACTTAACATGATGATCATGCAACCACTCAGGTGTCCCCCTTTCTGCCCTGGAGCTAACGGCCACTGAAAGGTGGAAAACGTCACTCAGACTCCAGGGAGAGATGGTTTGTCTTCTGACCTCCGTGGGGGTCACCAGAGAGCTTGAAGGCAGAGCCTCTGGCCAGTCCGACCCAAAAGGGAGGTGATGGGGGAAGATTCTTTTTCTGAAAGCAGATTCACACCTCCCCCTTCTCAAATTGGAACAGTCCTGGGAAAATGGGACAGGTGTCCCTAATCAAGAGACAGGGCTGTTGACTCAACTCAGCAGAGCGGGCCCTCGGGGAGAGGAAATCTTGCTACAAAGAAAACTTAAATTTTCCGATCCAGAGGTAGTCCCTGCCAGGGGCAGGCCACAAGACCAAGGAACCCTGCTGGCTGTCCTCTAACAGGTGAATAGCTGGTCAAGTCAAAGTTCATTCTGGAGATCAGAGGCCCAGGAAATTCTTTGTTTCTTTGCCTCTACTACCTACTAAGTAAGCCCTCTGCGGGTTATGCGGATGGGGGAAGGAGGTAAGGAGAGGCACCAGAAGCTGCCTTTCCACAGGATCCGAGGTTTTGGCCACAGCCGCAGAGCATCAGGAAGGAGCAAAGCGAGAAAGAGCAAACCAGAAGGGTTCAAACACTAGCCAGCCCAATCTCTCCAGTCCTGGGCTAGGCCAGCCACGGTGTCCCGCATTCACCCGTCACTTGGCCGCCAAATATCTCCGGGAGTTTTGCTTCCAAAGAGACCACCAGGCAAGGATTTGCCTGTCCTAGGAGTGCCTGTCCCGTACACTCCGAGGCTCCCTTTAGCGGTCCCGAAATTGACCTGAGGCCGATTTTGGTGCAATGCGAATTAGCTCCAGCAGCGGTGTCGGTGTCGGGAGGAGACTGCTGAGCTCTGGGAGCACCGGCTTGGGCAAAGCTGGGACCGGGAGTCAACGCCCGCCGGTCGCTGGCTCCATCCAGGCCCCCGCCCATTGCCTTGACAACCAGCTCCCACCCGCCCTCCGGCACAGCAGGCTTGGGCCACCGGCTCTTGGGCATGCGAAGGCGCCCCGCCCTGGGCGCCCCGATTCCGGGAGCCGCGCATCTCCACCTTGACGGGAGCTTCCGAGCACCACGCAGAGGCGCCCCCTCCTGCCCGAAGAGGGAAAGCCCGGGCGCCCCCAGCCTTGACTTCATAATAAAGCTCCCCAAAGGCTAGGGCTCCCCCGCGCGTTCCAGCGCCTTGCACCTGCCGGGTTCCCCTACCGGTCCTTGCTGGGGGACTCTGGGTGCGCGGACAGCCCAGGAGCGTGCGTGGCCCCGTGGTCAAGTGCAGCATCCCGGCGCCCAGGGCACGGCGCTCGTGGGGAGGGGAGCGGGACATCCCCGAAGGCCGCCTCGCGGGAGGCGGGGAGGCTGCCGGGTGCACGGGGAGGGCGGGGAGCCCGCGGGAGGAGGCGGGCTGGAGGAGTGGGGCGGGCGGCGGGGAGGGAGCAGGAGCCAGGCAAGAAAGTAGCAGAAAGTGAGGCTGGCAGGCGGCGGCAGAGGCAGGAAGTCTGTGCCGGAGAGCAGCAGAAATTAGAGCCAGGGAGGGACCGCGGCGGCAGCAGCCAAGGCGAAAGAGGAAACTGCCGAAGAGGAAGCTCTGCCGCAGCCCGAGTCTCCCTGCGCTCCGCATCCTCCGGCTCTGCATCCCCGCGCCCAGCATCCCCCTGCGCCCGCGCCGCGCCCCCGGCGCCCCTCCCCAGCGCACCCCCGGTCGCCCCACAGCGCTAGTCTGCCATGGCCCGGGAGAACGGCGAGAGCAGCTCTTCCTGGAAGAAGCAAGCGGAAGACATAAAGAAGATCTTCGAGTTCAAGGAGACCCTCGGAACGTAAGTGGGTGCTGGGGACCAGAGGGTGGAAGTGGCATCGTGGCAGCAGCTTTGCATCGGCGGCTCCTGCTGCTGCCGCCGTCACCACCACCGCGGCAGAAATTGACTGGTCGCTGCGTGTCCTCATTGTCCCATGGTTCGCTCTTGCGGGGACCCTCCGCGAGTCCACCGCGTGGGTCTGCGCCCACGGGTGACACCTCTCCTGGGCGGGGGAGGGGAGCGCTGGGCGCGCAGAGAACAGCCCACGCGGGCGGGCGACTTTCCATTTGCCTTGCCACCACCGCCCTCCACCGATTTTTCTCTCCACGCGTGACTGTGGGCTGAGTATGGTGGATCTCGTTGATCGCTGGCTGTGTGCACTTACCGTATGTATGGGCGCACTGGGTCGACGAAAGTGATCACGAGGAAATTAAGCTTTTGGTCCTGCCCTTACATCATATAATCCTATGGAATTGACATATGCGCGTACTATGTGTAGGCAAGACTTTGGATGGCCTCAGGATGGTGAGAGGGAAGAATTTCGCAGTATTCAGAGTGACATGTGGGCAGAGCCTCATCTGAGTGTATATTTCACATAGGGTCAGCTGCACGCACTGGGATGCATGTCCGGGTGAGCGGAGGGTTAAGTGAGTCTTTAGAGGCGGTTCTCTCCGCGGCTTCACGTAATGTAGTCTCATGCTTGATGGTTACATCTCAAGAAAGCAGAAATAATCAAAAGTGTGTGTCATCAGTGCTCTGAACATGTGCCTCTCAGCACAGCTGCAGTTCCCTTCCTGCGCATGAGTTGGTTTTGTTTTGTTTTGAAGCGCCTCAGATAGGTACAAGGGCTGTGAAAGAATTCAGCGCTGCCAAAGGAGTCTGAAGTTCAAGTTATTTTCTCCCCCTACTTGATCAGCTTCTGATTTTGATCAGTATCTGTCCATACAGATACAGTTACACACGGGCTGCCTGAAATGAGCGTTTTGCTGGGGTTTAGGAGGTGTTGGTGACACGGAGAAAAGAGGGGGTGTTTCCCGGGCATATCTGTGTGGCTGGGTGCTTTTCTGTCTTCCCTTATGCCACCTTAACCTTCCTATTTCTGCACCTGCTTTGCTTTCCCAGGATCCCATTTTTAAAATCTGCTCTAAGCTCAGAGTTCCACAGCTAAATATTGCTAATGATTTCCCTTCATGCCTCTCCTCGCCCGCCCCCACCTGCAGTGGGTCCCCCAGAGAGAAGTTGTAGGGTGACATTCTCAGCTGTGCTGAGCTCTAGAACAGGGTCACCCTGCTGCTGCTGCTGCTGCTGCTGCTGCTGCTGCTGCTGCTGCTGCTGCTGCTGCTGCTGCTGTGCACCAGGGAAAGCATCTCTGTGCACCTACTTTGTGTCTTTGTGGAAATAAAACAAGGGGCTTTTAGCTTTTTAGTAAAGAGGGTTAAGCTTTTAACTTTCCCAGTTAAGAGGATACTTCTGGTCCCAACTTTTCAAAATTGTCGTTTAGGGTTGAGGTTGTGACTTTGAGATGCACAAGTTAACAGGCGAACAGAAATGTGCCTTCTGCTTGTCCATCAGGGACCTGGCACATGATTGGAGATTGAGGAATACCCTCCTGTGTGAACAGATCCCCTTACATGTCTTTTACCTGCAGGAACCCTATTGCCTGCAGCCTTCAGGTACAATCTCCCTTCACTGACTGTCCTCACTGGCAAAGCCAGGCACCATGCCTGCACCTCTGCAGTGGCCAGGCTGCTGAGAGGGAGCCGGCTTGGAGCAGATTGTACTGTGTAGCATGCTGCTTGGGTTCACTGGAGTGGCGTCCATTTCTGGGAAGGACAGAGCCTTGACTTCATGCTGACCTGAGCTCAGGCAGAACAGCTTTATGGACTTGAGCTGTGCTCCTGTGAGCTGGTTCTTTCCTAGGGTCCCTTATGTTTGAAAATAATTCTTTGCAAAGAAACTCTCTGGTGTAATGCTGACAGGGTACCTAGGTTGGTACTAGAAATACAATGATCAAGATTTTTTTTTTAAATTGATGACATAATAATATTGACAATTATGGTGGCATTCTTAAAAGTATACTAAGCACTAGGTATTTATTCTAAGTTTCTTGTGTATATTAATCCATTTTAACTCACACACACAAAATTCCTGACATAATTATGTAGTGCTACCCATAATTTCCAGACGAAGAAACTGAGGTATGAGAGAGACTGTGAGCTAATGAGCTAGCTACTAAGTGATGGAGATAATGTTCAGAGCTAGGCAGAAGAGGTGCATGTGTGTGCACACGTGTGTTGGAGTGCACGTGGAGGCCAGAGGTCGACACTGGATGGCCCCTTCTTTTGCCTGCTGCCTTACCGTTTGAAGCGGGGTCTTAGACTGAACTTGCGGCTTATCCATTTGGATAGAGTAGCTGCCAATGAGCTTCAGGGATCCAACTGCACTGGGATTACAGATGAGGGCGGCCATGCCCAGCTTTTATGTGGGTGATGGGAATGCAAATTCAGGTCCTCATGCTCCTGTGGCAGACCCTTTCCTTACTGAGACATCTTTCTATTTCCAGAACAACTCTCTGTGATCCTCAATGCTGTTCAGCTACTTTATAGCCTAAAAATGATAACTTAACCTGAGAATAGGGGAATGTAGCTGAGTAGTAGAGTGTTTACCTACCATGTGTGAGGCCTGGGTTACATCTCAGGACTACAAATAATTATAAAAAAGGTTTTCATATACGGAAAGCCACTTTTAATAAGGACACACATAAGAGACTATTATGAATAACCTCCTATCTAAATATGCAAGGACTTCAGAGTTCTTGGATCATCACCATTGTACCATCTCCCTGAACTTGCTAGAAGTGGTCCCAAGTTTAGGATGTCTGGCTCACCTTGAGCCAAGTCTAGTGACCTTGGCCTAAGTCTTACTATGGAAGTTACTTTCTGTCCCTTCAGTTTGGGTTTTACATCTGGATTTTTCTCTTATTTATAATGAAGTCCAGCAGGAATCAGAGGTGTAGACAACAATAATTGAATAATTGGAGTCTATGCCCAAAGATCCATGTAGCTCCAGTCATACTGTTTATCACACTTTTACCAAACATCTTTAAGATCCTAAGGTAGGAAAGCCCTGCCAGAAACTGGTCAAAATGCTTTTGGAATAAAACATTGTAAAAAAGCAAACAAAACAAACCCAGAGGAGGATTCAGTAGCAGGCTTTGTAATCCTGTATTTGGCAGTCTCATCTGGTATCTCTCCTCATAGGCTGGAAGGTCTAATGCTAGAAGGAGAGGGTCAGGCCTTTTGTCAGTGTGCTTAGAGGGACCTTGCTGAGCAGGGGCCCAGCGAGTGGTAACTGGATCAGGGGGGTTGAAGAGGAGACGGAGGGAGGGGAGAGGGGCGGGCTCCTGGATGCATACGTCCAATGAACCTTCAAGTCGGGCCCCAGGAAATGCTGTCAACCCCTACGCTTCACTGTAGCCTCCTTCAAAGGGGGATCCCAGAACCTAACTGTATCTCTGAGTGAGGTGGTGAGACTTAATTACTGTTTATTAATCAACAACATGTTTTCAGATCCTTGGCACACAGTGAGAGCAAATAAATGTTGTGTAACAGCAAATTAGGAATGGTAAACATTTCTGTTGGCGCGTTTGCTAGGCTGTTAGAGTCATCTCTGCTGGAGGTGTGTGTGTGTGTGTGTGTGTGTGTGTGTGTGTGTGTGTGTGTCTGCGTCTATGTGCACATGCATGCATATGTGCACATCATATGTAGGTGTGTGTAGGGCAGAGAACAAACTTGGCTATTTTTCCTCAGGCCACAACCACTGTTTTTTTTTTGTTTGTTTGTTTTTGTTTTTTTGGAGACAGTGTCTCCCACTGGCCTGACCTCACTAACAAGGCTAGGTTGGCTGGTCAGCAGCCCCAGGAACCAGGCTGTGGTCTGCCTCTGCTTTTCCAGCTGGCTTTCAAGTGCATGCTGCCAGGCCTAGCGTTTTATTTCTATTATTTTTAAAATTTAAAAAAATGGGTTCTGGGGATTGAACTCAAGTACTCAGGTTTGCAAGGCCAACATTTTACTGACCGAGCTACCTCCCTAGCCCCAGAGAGATCCTTAAGCACCTTCTGAAAAAAACAGAAACTTCCCGTCCAGCATTCGGAGAAGGATATGGGAGGTTTTCAAATGACCCGACAACTCAGTGGTTCACTTGTGTCTGGAAGGCATTTCTAATTGTTGTTCCTCGGGGTTTGCCTTGTGTGACTAGGTGCACCTATTTGGAGGGCCATTTTGTGTGTGTGTGTGTGTGTGTGTGTGTGTGTGTGTGTGTGTGTGTGTGTGTGTGGTGTTCATGAAGGTGAGTGAGCACGTGTGTTTTCATGCACATGGAGGCTAGAGGTCAACCTTGGACCCTGGCTTTTGAGACAGGGGTTTTCATTGGCCTGGAGTTCACCTCTTCTCTAGGTTAGCTGGCCTGTCTCTACTTCCCCAGTGCTGGGTGATGGAGCATAATGCCCAGCTTTTATGTGGGTGCTGGGGGTCAAACTCAGGTCCTCAGGCTTGTGCAGCAAGCATTGTAACCAACCAAGAAGTTTCCCCAACCCCATGGAGGGACATTTTTATGACCATCCAAGCAGAGGATGGAACACTCCAGGCCAGCTGCTTTCCCGAGTAGAGGGAGTGGCAATGGGTCTTTTCCATTACCCAAGTGCCTGCTGGGGGCTGCTTTAGGAGGAGAATAAATGGATATTTCCTACCTGTCTCATCCTTACACTGCTGAAATTGCTCAGTAAATACACCTGTTGAGGACAAAAGTAATTGATTTGTCTGCAACCCTAGATGGGAAATAGATTTGCCTCTTGTTTTGGTGGTGGTGGTGGTGTCCGTGTGTATAAAGAATGCAAAATTCCTTGGGGTAGTTTGCATATTTGCACTTCTGGTTATCTGCGGATTCTGAGATCAGTCAGATCTTTTTAGAATCTGTGAAGATCATTTGAAAGATTAGAAAGAGAAGGAGGGATGTGAAGCCTG